ACTATTTTATAAATAAAACCCAGTTTTATATAAGTGACTGCTCCTAAAATCGTACAGTGAGTTCCTTAGTGGCAACTCCTGAGGCTCATATTTCCACACGCGCACTTATTCGGGCAGTAGACCCACAGGGGTGAAGCAGCGAGCTGAAGAGGAACTCAGTGGGAGGGCACCCGGGAGGCGGTGCTGCTGCTGGGGGCTCCGGGGTTGCAAGTTTGTACATCTCTGAAGTGGGAGGAGCGGGCTGAGGAAGGAGAGAGAGGATCTCAGAGACACGCAGGCGCGGTGCATGCCACCTGGCCAGCTGAGGGCTTGTGGAGGCCAAGCTAGGCTGGCTGATGACTTCAGGCTGGGCTGAGGGTAACCTGGATGCCACGTGATAGAGAAGCAGCTGTGTTTTTCTCCCCATGCAGGATGTCTGGAGAATACACCAATTCTGTGAGCATCTGTGAGTAGTTCACACCCCTGAAGGAATATTTTTAGCCCATTAATGAGCACAAAGTAAGTGGTCCTCTACCACCAAGACCCCCATGGAACAGCCTGGGTTGTGCCTGGCAGAGCACCATTGCCGTAATCGCCTCCTTTGATGAGACCTGCTGCCTCTTCCTCTGTGGAGTCAGCTCCGCATCGCATTCTGACACTCCACATTGACCCCTTCCCGGAAATCTCACCCATGCTAGGATGAGATTCTCCCCATTCTCTTCTGCCCCACCCCGGCCTTCCTGCATGACAGAAGCTGGGAGCAGGAAGAGCGGTACCTTCTGACTCTGATAGAGACCCATCCACAGATTCACTGCATAATCAGTTTTGAGCTTCCCCACTGGTCTCCTAAGATAAGCTGGCAAAACCTCCTCTGAGTCAAGCAATCAGGAAATTCTTTGAAAAAAGTTAAGAAAGTATTCTTAAGTTAAATGACAGACTTGTCGGCTTACATGATGGTTGGGCATCACCTGTCCTTTGAGAGAAGCTGTTGCTACTCCTGTTTGTTCAAACAAAGAGAAGGCTCTGGGTTTCGGGGTCCTATGGGATCTGGGCTGTTTCTCCTGATGATGCTTGAGCAGCTCAGGAGTTGAGCACATGCCACTAAGACCACAGTTGATGGTGAGTGTTAAGAGGGAGGCATTTAAGCTAGTTGAGGCTGGGAGGCTGGAGAGGACTTCGGGTCACCCCTGACCTGGGACACGCACTTATCCTTCCTACCCCCATCCTCCACAGCAGTCATCAGCAGCTCCACGGCTGGGACCGCGGGCGCAGGAGCCGGCTTTGGGAACAGCGGCGCCGGCACCTATGGCTACTGGCCCAGCTCTGTCGGTGGGGGCTGTGGCATCCCACCTGCAGGCTGTGTCACTGGCAGTGGGAACTGCAGCCCCCGTGGGGAGGCCAGAAGCAGGCTGCTGAGTGCAAATGAATTTAAGGACCCACCAGGAAAGACCCCAGCTCTGAGCTCACCCACCAAGAAAACCACGAGATAGAGTGAAGCAGTCGTCTGGGCACCTTGCTCTGGTTTCTCCTGAACCCTCTTGTCCAGGAAATTCCTGTCATGCATGTTACCGTCATCTTGCTTTCCTTTGCCACTGACATTTCCTCTCTTTGCAACTCCCTGCCTTAGTCTTTCTTCATCTAGAATCAGGATGCTGGCCCCTTCTTCTGCCTCCATCCCAAGGGACCTCTCTTAACCCAGCCTCCCCTTCCTGAAGCGTTGCCAAGGACAGAGAGCCGACCCTTTCTCTGGACGGCATGCCCCCTTGCCGAGGAAGGTTTTCTTTGAAGGGCAATCCTAGTTGCTCCGCTGCCTTCCATGCCCTGGCTTAGGTAGTTGTTGGGCCATGTGCCCCACGAGACTGCAGGTCCACGGATAGACCTGCAAGGACCGTCTCCTGTTAGAGCCACATCAGCTCTGGTTGTCACTGTACCTGGCCTGGTCCCCGCGGACTGTCCGGCTGGGAGTACCCCTGCCCGCTGGTCCCATCAACGAAGGGATTTGTGCTCAGTATGTGAGTTCTGGTCCACGTTCAAGCTTCTCTTCCCTGCTTCCCCATCTCACCAAAAAATCCGTACAACTCATGCAGGCCCGGGCTGCTTCTCTCTTCTAAGGGAATCCTTGTCTCAGACCACACCTCTTCTGTATGTAGAGGTCAGCAGCTTGGAACACGGGGCTTTGAAGGTCCAGCGTCTTCCAGAGTCCCAAAGCATCTTTTGATCTGACTACAAGAGATCCTTGCATGGACAGCAGGCCCCACCATCACCAATACTGGATTTGGTGACACGCAGGATTCATCTCTGTCCCCCATCCCCAGCAGAAGCACCTTCTAGGTCGTGCTTTTCTCAGGTCAGTGCTCCAGTGAGTGGGCACCCTTAAGAACATTCAGATGACCAGCAGAGGGAGGGAGCCAACACCTGTCTTGTGGCAAGATTTAAAACTGCTCAAGAGGCAGCAGAAGGCCACTTCCAGAAAGCCTGGGACTCTGGTCATGGCTCTCCCTTGTTTCCTGGGGAAAGGACAAGGGTAGATTCTCTTTAAAGTAATGACCCATGTTCTCTTGGTCCTTGGTGACGTGTCACAATGTTGAGAATGGACGGGATTGTCTGTGTATGTGTGTATGAGTCGTGTTTAAGCAGGGGGCCATCTCTGTTTCACACCACTCGGTTTCCAAAACACTCTGTGCTCAGAGATTTGCCATAGGTCCCCAGGCCATGAGGATGTTGTCAGGATGGGACAGGAGACAGACAAAGTGAGAGGCCAGTGCACATTCATGCTGGGGTTCCCAGGTGCATCAGAGCAGGGTCACTGTGGGTCCAGAGAGAATCTGAGAGTTCAAGTCAATAGACTTGAATTCAGATTCAGTCCCTGTGACTAAGTGATGATCATGAGCGAAGCTCTCAATCTTTTTGACCCTCATTTGTTTTTCCAGCTATAAAATAAGCAGAATTACACCCCCGGGTTGTTTTGTGCAATTCCTGGTAAAAAGTTCACGCCTAATAAATGTTAGTGGAAATGGAATCTTGTCTTCAGTCTTTTTGGTTCAAAAATGTAATTAGCTCACTGAAAGAGGTGTTTGGTTGCTGTTAAAGCAGTTCACAAAATCTAAACTTTAAAGAAACCATCTTATAAATGATATGCAGTTTATTTATTGCCTAAAGGAGAACTGGCTGGCAGAATAACTAATCTCAAGGAGGACACTCTTGGGACCACTAAAAAAATTGTGATCCATTCAAGGAATATTTAGTAAGTCTCTATCGTGTGGCTGGTATGAGTTAGCACTGGGGACATAGTGATCTATAAACTGGTCCATGCTCTTGATGGAAATGTAACCATAAAAATGTAGCTATAACACAGATAAGATATTGGCAACACAAGAAAATACAGAGGCGGCACAGAGGAGGGAGTAGGCATGGTAGCCAGAGGCACTAGCATGGTGAAATTAGCTCGTGGTTGCTGGACGGGGAAGGACAGGCTGAGGAGTTTCAGCAGGTGGAGAGGGAGGGGGCAGCGGCCCCTGGTGCTGGGGAGGCAGGCACAGCCACATCAGAGAAGCCCTTTCAAGTCTGCTAAGGAGCTGGGGTTTCACGCTGTAGAGCTCATGGGAGAAGCTACAGATGGACTAGGCGAGAGCCCCCCTCTGCCACTCCCTCACTGAGTGACTCAGGCAAGCTACTTCTGCGCCATGAGCCTCAGTTTCCTCCTCTGTAAAAAGGAGTCAGTAAGAGCAGTTCCCTCGTGAAGTTGCCACGAGAATTACATTTAATGAAAGAATGTAGGAGAATTATTTAACTTAGCGACTGCATGTAGTATGTGCTCAATAAACGGTTGCTATTAAACTGTTGTT